CCCCAAAACCCCAAAACCCCAAAACCCCTCTATGAACATCTTTTAAATATTTTAACATAAATAATTCTAATGAGCACAGGCGATACTTTGGTAAGCTCAGTCATACGATGATATTTCCTAATTTAACCAATTCAATTTTAATCTATGAGCTTCTTATACATCTTTTTGAAATTATAGAGAGACAAGCCAAGAAAAGTTATTCCAAAGAAAAGGAACCTTGATGTTAGTCCTATCTCTATGCTAGCATTGGGTAAGTTATTACCTCAACTTTAGATACACGTATTCATTCTGTAGAGAAGGTAATTTACAATATTTCAATAATATTTCTCAATAGGAGCCCAATAAGAATTCTAAAAAGAACAAAAACGTGCAGAAAAGAAGTAAATTTAAGCTAATTAGCAGAATAAAATGAATTTACAAGAGAATACAGGAAATAGTAAGCTACATAACCTAATCTTAGACATAAAAATACAGAACTTCATGAATAACCTCCCTCGAGCATCAGAGAATGCTCGTCCGAAGATGACAAAGAGTATCCCCTAGCTTACCTATAGACAAGACAAAGGTAATTAGGTATCCAAAAGAAAGATCACAGAAAATTCTGCAGCAAAAAGGAAGAAACTTTGTTCAAAATCTTAAAGCAATAGGTACTTCCAAGTATAATGACCATAGACTATCGAAACAAGAGAGAGAAAATGATTGCAAGGTCTTTAGAAGCAGCAGGAAATGTTAGATCAGCCTGATAATTTTTAGGATAAGTTTAGGAACAAAAATACTATGAAAAACTCCATCGAACACTTTATAGGTACATTTGAGATTCTAACACACCTAAATAACGAACTGTTTATCATAAATTAGGCATAGCTGAAAATGCAGCCGGCACTGAAGGAACTAAGTAAAATTAAGTCTAAAACAATAGTTCAAATCCCCCAGATAGAAAGACATCAAAATTTGGAGAAACTCAAAGCATAGATGGCTGTGATCTCTGGATGACTCAGAACTTCCATCTTGGCAGAAGTCTAGAGCTTAGTAATGAAACCAAAAGCATGGAGAAAAAGTTTATCAGATTTTCATCCACTAGCAAAGACTTCTTCAAAAGACTTGATCAGAGTATCGAGGTTAATGTAAACGAGGGTCTAAAACACATGAACAGTTTTCAAAAATAACAAGCTAAAATCCCTTAGGCTTTCTAAAAATGTAAGGCCCTCATCTAATTATAGTCCCTTGAAAGATCCTTATTAAATGCAGAAGACAAATCTATTAAAGATATCGTAAGCATTTACCCTCATGTCTAGGATTACGATCTCCTCACAGAAGAGGAGAAGGAAGTGTACAATAAGAGGATCAAAACTAAACTGATAGAGTTTAAATAAAAAGTCTGAGGAGATATACCCAGATTCTGTTAGAAATCAGCAAATATTATTCAAAGACAGGCTAAAATTTAACAAGTATTCCTCTGTCTTTACAAGAATAGGATGAAACTACAAACAATGAGGAGGTTTAAGTTCCAAAAGTTAAAGAATGATGGTCTTGGTACATTCAAACATCTAGCAAAGTACGAAATAATCAGGTCAAGAGAAGTAAGCAACTCAGCTAGATCCTTTTAGCCGAAGGTAGAAGACAAGCTCCTTAGCTCCAAGAATAACAAATCTAAGGAATTTGTGAAGTTCCTTATCTCCAAAGTTATTGATACGAAAAGCAAGATTAAAACCAATGAAAAGAAATCTCAGCATTTTTTTAAGAATACTTTTACAAATCAGAGGAATTTTACTCAAGAAAGGTATCAGCTTTTTCTGATAATTTATATTTCCATTAGAATTTTCTAACTTTAAGTAGAATATCAGGAGCAGAATTCAAATCAAAATTTATTGAGAAACACAATAAAGGCTTGTTTTGTAGGAAGTCAACTTACGAAAAGATAGCTAAAAGAGTAATGCCCTCGATTAGATATGAAGTCGGAAAGAGTTAATAATGACTGAGGTATCATTCAATCTTGCCTTAATCATTAGGGGTTTTGGGGTTTTGGGGTTTTGGGGTTTTGGGG